TTACTGCCATTTATGCTACTTATATCCAAATGTATCTGCAGTAATATAGCTTCCTTCAGGAAGTGACATCTAAGCAGACTTCTGCAAAGGAGAAAAGGAAGCTCTGCACCAAGATTTCTGTGGACCTCCCTCGTCCTGTTTTTTTTTTTTTTTTTTTTTTTTGTACTAGATTAAAGAAAACCCTTTTTGTGGAATTTCCAGGTCATTCCAACAGATTATCTGACCTAAAAAAAGACAAGGGGCCTATACCCACTAACCTAGCCTTAGGTTTGAGAGAGGAAAGGCTGTGCTAGCAACTGAAGTCTAGACTGACCAGGGAAGAGAAGCTGAGATTTCTACAGGGCACAGTTGGCATGTGGTGTGGGATGTATTATCCACCATACATTTGGCATCAGAGATGAATAATCTCAACCTTTCTAAACTAGTTTAATACAACAGGTTGCAAGACCAGGGTTCATTAGAGGATCCTGATTGTCCACAGCCCTATGCATGTGCAGAGCCTTTTAGATTCCCAGGAATATATCAAAGCTTTACAAAGTCCCTGTGAAGATCTCATTCTCCTGCTTTTCCTTTTGAACTTTTTGGTTGGCCTATGGTTTTCTCATTTATCTACTGCCTCAACTAATTCAACTTTGTTTCTGATTGTTTCTGACAAATAACAACCCAACCAAAAAAAAAAAACCTCACTGCCACTAAAGCATTTACAACACTATAGGATAAAAAAAGAACTGCCCCATGAGATTTCCAAGGCTGTATATCTTTACAGAAGCAAACTGACTCATCTTTCTCCCACAGAGCAGCTAGTGGTTTCGAACTGACAACCTTTTGGTTAGAAGCCCAATGCTTTAACCACAGTGCCACCAGAGTTCCTTGTATAATAGTAAAAAGTAGGTTTAATTTTATATTCTCAATTGTGCTCAGTTAGCTTGACAAAGAGATGAAGAATGTCATAGAATTCCTTAAGGAAATCCAGTTTCTAATTTGTTCACTGTCAGAGTACTTCTCGACAATTAGGAAGGAGTCCATTGAAAATTTTTATAAATAAACTCTTAAAGAAAGTAAATATACAACAGAGTTCTGCAGGTCTACATCTTCTTTCTTCATTAGAAATACTATCTTTGATCTCTTCTGTTCATTCAAGGTCTAGAAAAGGTCACTCTATGACTTCATATTTTCTGCTTCTGCCTAAATAATCTCCAATTGCTGTTTCACCTTGATATTTCTGCATATTATTTGTAGTATTACAAAAGTTCCTTACTGACTACTTAATCTACTTTCACAGTTTGTTAGTTTTTATTTTACAATGATACCATATTCTAATATTATATCATCCTTTTATCTTCAACCTACCAAGAAAACAGTACTAGGTAAGGAGTTTTGTGGAAGAAGCAATAATGAACACTGCCATTAACACGAATATATTAATTTCTTACTGAAAAAAATCTGCTCAGTCACCGTCTCAAAATGCAAAAGGACCACAGTTTTTCATTTCCTTTATAAAAAGTTAAATTTAAAAAGTTTATACAAGAGGGACTTCTGGAATGTTGGTAATGCTTTTATTTTTTTAGCCTAGGTGATAGTTCCAGGAAATGTTTTAACTTTGTGGATAATTCACTAAGCTATATATTTTTGTTGTGGAAACTTTTCTGCATGCACATTCTAAAACAAAAGAGTTTTTTTTTTTTTTCCCCCTCTTTTTTTTTTTTTAATTTTATTTTGATTTGGGTGAAGATTTACAGAGTAAATTCACTTTTCCTACAGCAGTTCACATATACTTTGTCTCATATCATTGACCACAATTTAGCACAATGCAACAGCTCCCCTCCCACTTCCTCTCCATAGTTACCTCTTCCCAGTGTCCATCCCTTCATACTCTTCTGTACCCTGAGCTGTCTCCCTGTGCATAAGCAGCCCTTACTTCTCCCATGATTGTTCTCTCCAGGGTGTGTGTCTACTTGAGGTAAATGTTTAACTCACATGCCTGTACTTTGTTTGGCTGGAAACCACAGGTGTGGGTTCAATTCCAGACCTGAAGGGCAGCTAGGGGCCATAGTCTCAGTGGTTCCACCAAGCTCTATTCGACCAGCAAACCTGGTCCCCACCTTCTTAACAAAAGTGTTTTTAAAAAGAATTTTATTATTCAGAAATTCTATGACAGCTAAAAATGAACCAGATGCGTCACTAATAGCACTGCATGTCATTGGGCAAACTGATATTAATAGGTATCAACAATTAGCTTTCACAAATAATAGACTTTAAATCCCAAATGAACATAAAGACACTGTGAATAAGCTTTGCAGATGGTAACATATTTAAGAGTAAATGTAAGAAAAGCTTTTTCTCTTAGTTACATCTTAGGAGGCTACTTTTACCAATTTTGACCAGTTTTGTTTATTAAAAGTCTATTGTAATAAATAACAAAACATCTTCAAGGAAAAAACTTTCCTTAAAGCTTTTGGGAAAGATTATCTCTTAGAAATCAGTTTTAAAATGCAAAGCAGGTTTGAGGTAACATTTATGCCTTTCAAAAAAACTGTATTTCTCCCTATCTACAGAGCCATTCTCACACATTATAATCTGAAAAAAAAAAAAAAAGTCTGATTACTTTTGCCTCTTGTTTTAGAAATATAATCTTCCAAATACATTTATTCATTTCAAATATTAAAAAAGCTGAATTTAAAGTTTTACTCCAAATTCATATGCTATAAAACCATACATTTAAGTCTGAAAGTGCTAAAAAGACAAGTATGGTCTAACATACTTCTGCTAAAGGGGCAAATCTCAAGCTTCTCTGAGCAGAAAATTTGAGTTTAAGTGATTATTTGTCAGAAAATTCTCATGATGCAACAATGGTCTCTCTAAGGCTAGAGCTGCAGTAAGCAACAATATGGTTTCCAGTTGTCCACAAGTACTTATGAAAATGCTCTCCCACAGAATGTAAAAGGATGTATTTAATAATTCAAAAGAAAGTACATAGAAATTGTATCCTGCTTTACTCATTCCCAAATTTCAATATAAAACCCAGTGAACTGAGTTTAGAAAAAAACAAATATTTCATGATAGATGCTTTACATATTTTGTCTGTCTTTCATACTCATAATTTTTATAAAGGAATTAACCTCCTTCTACAGACAAGAAAAACTGCACATAGTTACAAAATCAGTCAAGGGAAGAGATGACACCTGATGGATTACAGAAGCAAGGTTCTTTCCACTGTACTGAACTATTCTTATCCCATTTGTTCTGTCTCCTGATTTATGCTTTCCCATTAAATTATGCTCCATTTGCAATAAAAATTATGGCATAAGAATAAAATGGAGGCGGTATAGAGATTAAATTCTAAGTCATTAAATGATCAATTATCACTTTACTTTTTGTTTTAAAAAATCACAGCAATGACTTACTAAGCACCTACTAAATACCAGGCGCTTTACACTTAATTATCCTAAGAACTAACATATACATACACATACACTCCACAGATCTACGTAACCACATAAAGTTCAGTCAACTCATGAGATAGGAAACATGATAATAGATTATGGAAAGAAAACAAAAAAGAATAAAATTATTATGATGACTTGGTATATAGAGGAGTAGAGAGGTAAAAAAATTTTTTAAATAAAATATAGTTGAATATTTATATCTACTGCTTACCAGTTTTTCTTTGAATGTGTTTTTTTCCAGCTTCCCTGAAAGCAACCATGGCTCTGAAGAAAGCGCGGAGAACTGCCCACCGGAAAACAGCTACTGGATCAATTCCAATCATCCCAGATATAAATGCATTCTTGCTACTTCTCAGAAGAGCTACAATATCTGGACGCATATGATCTGTATTTTTTTCCCGGAAATCCTACATGAAAAGAGTACCAGTGTTATTTATTTCTTTATTTTAAGTACTGAAACCAAGAAGATTGTGACATGTGTGAGTGGTGGTTGAATAAAAACTACAGAAATGATTTCTATTCTGGGTAGCTAACTGGTCTAAGTATCTTCTACAAAGTCCCAGCCAATTCTATAACTCCTGAATTCTATAAAACACACAAAGTAGAATGAATATTCCACAATTGTATTGCACCTTGTTAAAATGTAGGTCAGTGAAAGCCTCTCTGAAAGAATATCACATAAAGTGATAAGAGAGTTGAAAAATAAAAAGAAGCCAGTCATAAGAAGATGAGAAGAGCATTCCAAGCAAAAGAACCACCTCCTACAAAGATCTTACAGTGTTAATGACTTGGACAAATTAACAGAAAAGCATTAAGACTAGGGGATGAAATATAGTGGGCAAAGGTGAGAGTAGCAGAATATTAGGCAAATAAATAAGCATGTTTACGCTCTGTAAGTCTGAGCAAGGAGTTAGATCATATACAGTGGAAAAGAAAGTCACCGAAAGGGAAATGACATGAGCCAACTGGTGTTTTATAATAAATACTGGTTGCTGTGGAGAGAAAGAATGAAAAAAAAAAGGGGGATCAGTGATTGCAATATTCCAGATAAGGGCTGATAATGACCTGGACTAAGTGGATGGTAGCAGTGGAGAGGGAGAGCAGTTGTCATATTTGGAATATGTTTTGAAGGTAAAGAAAAAAGGACTTGTTGATAGATTGGGGGATGGTAAGAGAGTGAGAGATAATCAGGCTATCATCTATATTTTCTATGTAACTAAAAGTGCCATTTGCTGATATGGAGAAGACTAGAACATGAACAAGTTTGGGAATGAGAAGTAGGGCTTAAAAGATCAGCTTTGGCTCTCTCAGCTCCTTCCTTCCAAGTTGACAAAGAAAAGGAGGAACAATGGCTGTGTCAAAAAGGGATGTAGCCATGTGCAGCCTATTCTCTGCAAGAACTGTGCTTGCTGCATGTCCAAGTACAAGGCCATTAAGAAATTCATAATTTGAAACACAGAAGAGCCATAACCCTTTCTGAAGTGAGTGTCTTCAATGGATATGCACCTTCCAAGCCGTACACGAAACTACATTATTGTGTGAGTTGTGACATTCACAGCAAGGTGATCAGAAATTGTTCTCCTATGGGCAGAAGGACAGACTACCCCATCCTAACTTAGACCTGCACGTGTTGCCCCACACCCTTCACCAAAGCCCATGTGAAGATTTGAGTCCATAAAGGCTGAAGAAAAACTAACCTGGGGGGGAGGGGAGGAAAGAAATTATACTTTAAAAAAAAAAAATCAGCTTTGTCCTTGTGATATTTGAGAAGGTGAGGATATTAATAACAGATAATATTGAGAGGTTACTATGTACCTGGCGCTCTTTTATGTAGTTTATATGTGTTATCTCATTTTATCCTCAAACAACTCCTTGAGGTAGATATTATTACCATTTTTAGAGATGAGGAAACTGAATACAGAAAGGTTATATAACTTGTCCCATATCATTCAATAAATAAGCAGAATATCATTCAATAAATAAAAGGAGGGATTCAAACATATTCATAATCACTATACTGTGTCTGCAGATAAACATCAAGTGGACAGCCAGATATATGAGTTTGAAGTCCTAGAAAATATACTTGTTATCAACAGCATATAGATTTTTAAAGCTCCTGGACTAGATAAGATTATCTAAGGACTGTAAATATGTGTAAGGAAGATGGGCGATCTACTTCCATAAAGATTTACTGCCTTGGAAACCCAACTGAGGTGTCTATGAGTCAGAATCTACTTGACAGCAGTGGACTTAGTTTTTCATTTTGGTGAAAATATGCAGTAATAACCATCTGCCACAGAATATGGCGCAGAGAGAGAGAAAATAACAAAGTAAGTTAAAATGTTCCAAGGAAAGACGAGAAGGGCAAGAAGCTTACACTTTGAAAGAAAGTCCAAGACTAATATGTAGAGTCTAGGCGTTTGTCTGTAATCTTACAACTACAACCACTTACCAAAACGGAAAACATAATAACTTGGTGAGTACGTCACTCCAAGTTGGAGCAGCTTCAAAGAATGCTTCTAACTCCAATTACATCAGGAGTATTGTCTAGTATGAGCTCATTTACCCTCATGCAGGTTAGATTCATCCCATTTCCTCTCCTAATTTTTCCTTATTCTCCTGTGACTGAGAAGAAGGGAAAGGGGCAAACAAACCAAGAGCCTTGCTCTCTGACTTGTACTGAAATATACTTTCAGCAAGAGTGCATATTATAAAAGAAAGTTGGTAAAACGGAGTAAGGGTTTTCAAATCCACATCACTACCACCCACTACTATCACCAGGTAATACCTACTAAGGGAAGACAAGGAGTCAGGCAGTAAGTACTTTACTTATTTCATTCAAAGAATGAAAAGAGGGATTCAAACACATTCATACTGATAAATAAAGAGAGATAAGTAGTTTGCCAAACATCAAACAGTAAGTACCAACCCAGGAACTGTAACATCAATCTGCCCTACTCAGAAGATCACACCTATTAATCACTAACTACACTGTACCAATCTAAAATTCTAGAATTATTTTCCATACCTGTCAAGTGTTGATAGTGACCAATGAATGATCTTCATTTTTCAAATCAAATGGTATTTTCTCTGTCCTCATATTACTAAATTTCTCAGTACATTTGATATAAATGACCACATCATTCTTATTAAAACTCCTCTTCTATTTTCTTTAATGTGCTTTTTTTTTTTTTTAATTGTGATCTGGATGTAAATTTAGAGAGCAAATTCACTTTCCATACAGCAGTTCACATATATTTTGTCTCATGACATTGGCCACAATTTACCACAATGCAACATCTCCCCTCCTACTTCCTTCCGATAGTTACCTCTTCCCTGTGTCCATCCCTCCATGCACTCCTGCCCCCTGAGCTGTCTCCCTGTGCATAAGCAGCCCTTCTTTCTCCCATGATTGTTCTCTCCAAGGAGCATATCTACCTCAGGTAAATGTTCAACTCATATGCCTGTCTATTGTTTGGCTGGAAGCCACAGGCGTGGGTTCAATTCCAGACCTGAAGGGCAGCTAGGGGCCATAGTCTCAGTGGTTCCACCAGGCTCTATGGGACCAGCAAACTTGGTCCCCCCCTTTTTTTTCTCCAAATGATTGAGTTTTGTTCCACATTGTTCTCCCTCTCTATCCAGGATCTCCTACAAAGATCCACTTCCACATGGTTGACAGTAGTAGCCAGGCACCATCTAGTTCTTCTGGTCTCATAGTCGTATAAGCTGTAGATTGGATGGTGTACCAGTCACTAGGACTAATTGTTTCCATGAATTTTTTATTTTCTTCATTCTTCTTTGCTCTGGATGAGGAGAGGCCCATTGTTGCATCTAGCTGGCAGCTTGCAAGCTTTTAAGATCCCAGTCACTACTTGCCAAAGTAGGAGGTGGAACAATGTTTTGTGTAGTATGTTATGTCAATTGAGCTTGATGTCCTCTGCAACTATGGTCCTGGGCCCACAGGTTCAACTACTCAGTCCCTCTTGGTAGCTGGCTGTGACCAAGCAGTAACTGCAACCTTGCCCCTTGTCAACCCTACCATACACCTGGGAATTCAGATCATACACATAAACTTATAGGACCGTTGTCTGCCAAACCTATATATGTTCTTGGGTACACGCCCCACTTCATAGACATACCTGATAGTTCAGCCTGTCCACCCATCTATCCATCCGTATGCCTATTTTTGCCTTCACTGACAACGCCGTACTATACGTACAAAAGGGTTCATCTTTGTTGTCTGTATGCTTTTGAGGTTTACTACTTACCTCTTGTGTAAACAAGAGTTTACAGTTTTCAGTCCCCATTGCTAGTTTCATATTGGAAATTCTTAGCATTCTTAGTTTTTTCACTCAATCCTCTTACATCACGATCTCAACTATATCTGTGTTTTAAACATTACATGATAAGGATCAAATGTGTATTCCCAGCTCAGATTTCTCTTATGTCTTAAATCCATTTATATAACTTGAAAGAAAATGTGTAATTAATTCTTACTTATATGTCTAGAAAGCATTCTCTAGTGAAAGCATGTGGGCCTGAAATTTTGTTCATGGAAAACTTTTAAATAATTAATTCAAATTATTTAATAGACATAGGATTTTCAGATTTTCCTATTTTTTCTAAAGTTTTGGTAAACTGTGTTTTAAATGCATTTATCCATGTCATAATAGCTGTCAAATGTGTTATCAAAATGTGCTCAAAAAATTCACCTTGTCACATTGTCACAATGTCACATTGGTCAGTTGTTTAATAGTGTTATACAACTTTTTCATATTTTTACTGATTCTGTGTCAGCATATTCTGTTAGTTTCTGAGAGACCTGTGTTGAACTATGATTGTGAACTTGTCTAGTTCTACTTTTGCTGTCATTTTGTTTCATATACTGTGAATCCCTGTCATTAGGTATACACTAGATGTTTATACCTAATGTAGGTATACATTAGATGGTTATATCTACCTGCAGAACTGATTTCTTCTTTCATTATGAAATGTTCCTCTTTATCTAGAATGATACTTTTTGTCTTAAAAGTCTACTTCATCTGATAATAATATAATTTTACCAGATTTCTTTTGATTAGAGTTTATACAATGTATCCTTTTACTTTCAATCTATCTGATTAGCACCACAACATGGATGAATCTCACACACACAAGTGTATACACTCTATGATTTCATTTATCTGACACTTAGCAACAAGCAAAACTAGTTACAGATGATAAAAGTCAGGGTAGTGCTTACTTCTGAGGGAAGAATAAGCTGGAAAGGAGCGTGAAGAAAATCTATACTTGAATTTGTAAACTTTATGTACCTTATGATTTTATAGCTTAAGTTTAAAAATATATATATATATATATATATTCTCAATATTTTTCTAAAGCCTGCTCTTTCCCCATCTTTCTATCTCAGGAATAATATATATCTCTAATTTACTCATCTACAATAAGTCACTTATTCACCTAGAATCCATCAATAAAGTCTTTACTTCCAAAATAGATTTCATTTTCATCTGAATCTTCCCATTACTACTAACACCTTCTGGTTCAGTTTACCTTAACATTGCACCACAACTATTAAAAAAGCTACCTGCCTGATCACCCAGCTTCCACTCTTACTCTCTGCTATCTCTTCTACTCAAAATGACCAAAGCAATGTTTTAAAAACATACATCACATTCCTTCCTTCAATTCTTTTCACGATACCCCAAAGTAATTTCAACAAAAACCAAACTCTTTTAACTTGGCCTAGAAGCCCTAACCGACCCACTGTCCATTCCCTGAATTCATTTCATGCCACTATCTCTCTTGCTCTCTACACTCCAACAACAGCAGCCTGTTTTCAATTATTTCAAAAGATTAAATCTCCCCTACCTCATGACTTGTAATATTCACCATCCCAACTCCTCACCAAGTTACTACTTACTTCAGGCCATCTCTTAAAATTTAAATTTTTCAGAAAGGTGTTTTATTGCACTAGCCACTAATTAAAAATAGATCTATCTACTATCTCACAATTTTGCCTCATAGAATTCATTCTTTTATTTATAGCAGAGAGCTTCATTTTCATTTGTGTGTGCGTGTATACATGTGGCATGCATATGTAAATACACTCACACATACATACATACATAAATATGTATGCATATGATGTATATATTTATATGTATATAGAGAGTCAGGATGATGGCTACCATTGTCATTCCCAATAGTTTTGTTCAGTGAACACTTCGAGAATAACTGGATGAATGCAAAAGTGATCTTAATTTGACACTCACTTCAAAACCCAGGAAAAAACATATTACTCCACTAACTCCATATCTTCACTGCCTTGCCTGGGAAATTAAATGTCTTAAATGGTAGGCTAAAACATCAAGTGGTAAAGGGTAACAGACTCATCAATTACAAACAAATGGACAAAATTATGAAGATTCCCTCCATAGGGGTTAGGAGTTCCACTACACTCATTAGGAGTGCACAGGCTCATGCATACCTAATGGCGCATAGAGACATGAAGCCTGTCAGGCCTCATGAATCTAAGAGAAGTAATCTGACAAAAACGAGTTTGAACTAGCAGGTCTGAGACAGACAGACACTATTCTTTTGGATATAACAAAGGCTCTTAGGATTGATAACATCAGGTTTGTCTGTAGGAGGAAACCAATAAAAACACTTCTGTGATTGTTATGTTTGTATGTCAACTTGGCTAGGCCTGGTTGAGTGGCTGGGCAGCTGGTGGTAGTTATTCCACATGATGAGACTGGCAATCAACTCCATGGTGGGATCTACCACAAACAGCTGAGTAGCTGCCTTTGAGATGAGGTCTGCTTCCTGTATTTAAGGAGAAGCTTTGAGAATGGTCTCGAGCCTATGACACACTTGGACCCTGCATGTAGCCGTGTCATTGCTCAGCAGCCTGCTATGCTCTGCCGACCTTGGGACTTACAGTGGACTTAAGTTAATG